GCAGGGCATGGGGGCAGCGGTGGCGAGGAGGTCGCGTGCGAGGTAGTGCAGGGTGGCGTGCGTAGAGCAGTGCAGGGCAGCGCAGGGCGCGCGTGAAGGGCAGCGCAGAGAGTGTGCGAAGGGCAGCACGGGGCGCGCGCGTAGGGCAGCTCGGGGCGTGCGTGAAGGGCATCGCGCGGCGCGCGCAAAGGGCAGCACGGGGCGCGTGCATAGGGCAGCTCGGGGGTGGGACCAGGCCCTCAGATTCACTTTTAGGTACTGTGATGCATCAGGGCCACCCTGAGAAAGAAGGCTGATTGACAGTGTTGCTAACAAAAAAAGCCTGAAAGTTCAGTGTTACTGCAAAAAAAAGTCTGATTTCTTAGTGTTAAAAGTCAATTCAATGATGTCTCGAAGGTTCGATCCGGAGATCTAACCCTTTGTAAGCTGCCGTATAAACGGTTAAGTCACTTGAGGACGTCGCTATTGCCATTGGAAATTCAATATAAAAATAAGCTATACAGTGGTGGAGCTGCGAGGCCGTGAGGTTCTTGGCTTGTACAAAGTTTACATGCAACTTCTCAGAATCGCATTCAGTGTTCCGCAATAAAAAAGGCTTTAAAAACAGTACTATGTGAGATAAATCCCTCAAAGTCCAGCCTTTGTACATAAAAAAAGCCTTGAAAATCAGGTAAATCAGGGAAAAAAAACCTGATATCTGAGGACGGCTGTGATACTCGTGCGAATGACAACATTCATGAAGAATTTATCCCACATCTCGCATCGCCCATCAACGATTCGCCACATCAGTTACAATCTGAAAAGACTTTATAGGATCCTCTTAGGTTGATCGCATGTAGTGTAGTAGCAGAAGGTTTGCTAGTGAAGTCGGGTACAGACCATGTCAGAAGAAGGAGATTTGAATTGCGACAGAAGTGACTTATATAATGCGGTACAGGGGTTTATATAGGAATACAGTAAAGGTCCTAGCTAGACATGTACTCTGAGGGGGTACGTTCCCGTTTTGGCTAATCTAGATCGAGCCATGTACCAACCGTGCGCTTCGGAAACGGTACGCGCCACGGTAACTGTTTGAATCGTTTCCCGCGCTTGCACTTCGAATTCTTCCCACTTTCAACCATCTTCAATAACTATTTGTGTCGCTTGGTCTTCGTCCTCACGGCAGTCATCTTCGCGTTGAGAGTTCGTTACTGTTAGAATGTTATTCAACAATTTCATATCGTAACACTCCCCTTCATTCCTGGAGAAGCGAAGTCTTGATGCGCTTAGTTATACCGCGGTTGTTCGCACGGTGCTAATACTGCTGGCGTGGCAGCTTTTTGGTAAGGAAGTCAGCTGCCATGTGACTGATGGGGCAGTAAGTCAAGATGACTTTGCCCTTGTCAACTTTGCCTTTGACGAAGAAGTAACGAAGTGCGATGTGCTTGGTGCGGTTGACGAAGCCGGGTTTGTTCGCGATCTTGATCGCGCTCTGGTTGTCGTAGTCAAGTTTGAAGCTTGAGGATATCGCAATTTTTGCCTCCTCGAGCAGTTCCTATAGAGCCCTTCGCGAACGGCTGACGTGGCAGCGATGAACTCAGCTTCAACGGAGGAGAGCGTCAACATTACGTGCTTCTGAGAGTTCAAGGAAATTGGTCCAGTGGGTTCAAAGCGGAAGAGGAAGCCGGTTCGAGACCGTCGATGTGCAGGATCAGCGGCATGATCATTGAAGGTCCACGTATCCAACGAGGCTGAATGAGCGGGTTGTGAGGGTGGAGTAGGTGAGTCTAATGTGCAGTGTGGAGATGAAGTACTGCAGAGCGCGCTGCAGGTCCAACATATGCTCCCCTTCGGGCCGCTTGGAGAAATGAGCGAGCTGGCTCGAGATGTAGGACAAGTCAAGCCTGCACGTGACTGCAGCAAAGAGGAGGCAGCTGAGTTGTTGCTGGTATAGTTGGTGTTCAGATGGGTTGAGCGGATGGGTGTTGGAAGGTGGGGAGTTGCCGAGGTGCGGTAAGGGGTGGAAATGTTTGCCTGTTTGATGTTGAATTTTGCAGACAGTGTTTCAGCATACTTGGCGGTAGAGAGATGTATGGCGTCGGTAGCGTAGGAGATGTTTAGGCCCAGGAGCTGTGTAACATGCTCAGTGCTGGTGATCTCGGCATGATTGTTGAGGTTCTTATCAAATTGGGCGAGAAGCTCGTTGCTAGTGCCCGTGTATAGATCATTCACGTATGCCGTGAGGAGGATATTATCGCCGCGATAGTGGAGGCGTAGCCAAGATCGTGGGGCAGCTGTGTAAAGCCAATGTCCAGGAGGATTTGGTGGAGATGCTGCTCCCAAAGGCATGGTGCTTACTTGATGTCGTAGAGTGATTTCTTGAGCTGGCACACGCGATCGTCACTGTCGCCATAGATGAGAGGTTGTTCGACGAAGATGAGGGCATCAACTATTGCGTATAGGAATGCATTCTTGATGTCGATCTGACGGAGCGGGGGATGCTTTGCGGCGGCGATGGCGAGGAGAATGCGGACGAAGCTATGGCGGCTGACGGGAGGGAATGTTTGGTCGAAGTCAACGACGTGGCGTTGATCAAAACCACGCAAAACCCAGCGGGCTTTGAAGCGTTTGATGGTTCCGTCGGCTGTGGTTTTGACTCGGAATACCCATTTTCCTGAGAGAACACGTCTCCCCTTCAGTGCGACACGGTCAGCAAGAACCCAGGTTTCTCGAGCTTCGAGTGCAGCAACCTCAGCGTTCATGGCCGCACGCCATTCTTTGGTGTATGGGCCGGTGAGTGCCTTGCCCGGGGTTTTGGGTTCAACCGTCTTCGGCGGGTGAGAGACGGTAGAGTGTAGGCTGAGGATGTGCAGACCAGATAGGCCGGGGCTGTGGTGCTGCTCGCTGGTAACTTCCACCACATCGTCATCGGAATTATTGCTGCTGGACGGGTTGGGGCTGAGTAGGGAGTCTCGTGAGGAGTCGAGAGGTGCGCTGTCCCCGTCGTCGTCCTCGTCGTTCCATGGGTGTGGTCCCAGGTGGGGGTCTGTGCGGTCTTGGTCTGTGAGCGCGGCTTCGGCTTCATCGGCGGGGGTTGCGAAGCTGCGGGGAGGGCGAGAATACCCCGCCACGCAGTTCGTCCGTTGATTCTGAGGCAGTCCGCGTAGCAGTCTTACTGAAACTCGTGGATGGTGAGGTCTTCATAGAAGATGAAGTCGTGCGCTGCAACCACTCGTAAGGTATCATGGTCAAGCATGTTCCAGGCCTGATGCTCGAAAATGATGCCGAGATGTACTCCTCATCGCGCACGGCGCTCAAATTTCCATGTGGTTGCAGTTACAGGCCGGTATTGCACCATGCAGCCCCAGACGCGCAACATGGAGATGTCCCCTTTGTCGCCGGTGAATTTGACATGCGGTGGCAGATGGTCGGTGTTGGCAGCAGTGCTGAGAAGGTTGTGAAGGCGGACGGCGTGGTGCATGGCGTAGGGCCAGTACTTCGTGTTGACGTCGCTCTACTACAGGAGGGCGCGGACCTTGGTCATCAGGGTATAGTTTGTACGTTCGGCAACGCCTTGCAGTGGGTGCGTGTAGGGAAGGGATATCTTGTGGATAACCCCTTTCTCCTGGAGGTATGCCGCAAGCTTGTCGCTCTTGAACTCAGCTGCACAGTCAGTTTGCCAAAGCTTGAGCTTGTAGCCGGACTGGTTTCGGCGTTGCTGTGCCAGAGCTTGAAGATGTCGAACGCTTTGCTCCTGTGTGACACATTTGTCACCAAGACGAAACGAGAGTAGGCGTCGACGAAAGTAAGAGTGTATTCCTCGCCGTTGATGCATGTGTGTGTGAGTATAAGAAAGTCGCAATATACTTTTTGGAGCTTGGCGTAGCGGTTTGTGCTTGGCTCAAGAAGCTTGAAAGACTTGTGGTTAAGCGCGACTTCAGGGCAGACTGTGCAGTCGGTCCAATGGTTGGTGTCAACGGTAACAGGTGAGCCGTCGGGGCGGAGCAGTGTGCCTGGGATGAAATCTTCGGCCCGAATGCAGTTGTTGAGGACTTCTTGGGAGATGTGACCGAGGCGCTTGTACTAGAGGACAGGTGGCACTCGAAGTGCGGGTGAGCGTGCGAGGAAGGCGAGCAATTCGGTGGTGTTGGTTGGTGCCGACTATGCGAGTGGCTGTGGACATATGGAGAGGCCGAGGGCAAGAAAGATATCTAGAGTAGTGGGGGTGTGTCAAACATTATATATGTTGTTGTTGTTTAGGCTACAGTGGGTTAGCCTTTAGGGGGTACACAATTCTAGGGTTAGGTACTTGTACTCATTTTCACTTCTAGTTCCACTCATTCCTGCCTGTTAATTTCAACATGGTTTCAGAGCAGGTCCTTCGCTAGGACCGTTTTTTTAGGGCCCACCTACCTACCTACCTACCTACCTACCTACCTACCTACCTACCTGCGCCCTAGGGCGCCTCGTTTTTCACGGCCCCCTAAGGCCCCGCGACCCGCGACCCGCCCCTTAGCGACCCGCGCGCCGCCCCTTAGCGAACCCGTTGGCCCCGCGTTCGCCCCCCTATAGGCCCCTTACGGCCCCGCGCTCGCCCCTAGAGGCCCCTTACGGCCCCGTCGCAGCCCCTTAGAGGCCCCGTCGGCCCCGCGCGCCGCCCTTTAGGGGCCCTATCCGTCGACCCCGCGCGCCGCCCCTTAGAGGCCCCGCTGGCCCCGTCGACCCCGCGCGCCGCCCTTTCGCGACCCCCGCGCCGCCCCTTAGAGGCCCCGTCGACCCCGCGTACCGCCCCTTAGAGGCCCCGCTGGCCCCGTCGACCCCACCCGCTGCCCCTAACTGCCCCGCACGCGACCGCGACGGCCCCGCCAAACCTAGGCCGCCCGAACCAAGCCGCGCAGCCCCCACCGAGCCGCGCCGCCCTAACCGAACCGCGCCGCCCTACCTGCACCAAGCCGCCCTACCTGAGTCGCGCTGCCTACTACTGTTAGGGTGCACCTACTGCTACTGCTCCTACTGCTACTATGGCTAGCCCTCCTGTACTAGTTTTCGATACTGAGGGACGTCCAGTGAAATTTGACACCTGGCTAGATGACCTGCACCTTTTCCTACAGCTCACTGCCAAGGAGGACATCTCACTGTACGATCACGCCCTAGGCCATGCCACTGCACCTGCTACTACTGCTGACAGCTCTACCCGCTCACAGTGGCAGACTCGTGACGCCCACGCTCGCTTTGCTATTCGCAACTCCCTGCCGATAGATGAGCGCGAGCACTTTGGCCAGCACAAGACTGCACAGGACCTGTACAAAGCTGTCGTTGCCCGCTACTCCTCGCCTGCCTCTGCCGCTCTAGGCCGTCTCTCGCTTCCCTACCTGTTCCCCGACCTGTCCTCTTTCCACACAGTCGCTGACCTCATCACGCACCTCCGCACTAGTGAGGCCCGCTTCCGTGCTGCCATGCCCGCCGAGTTCCTTGCCAAGAACCCTCCCCCGCTCTGGCTCGCTCTCTACCACCTAGTCCGCCTGACTCTCTGCGTGCAGTCAGGGATTCCTTCCTAGCTCGCTGCCCTACTGAGCTCACCATTGCCCTCCTCGAGAAGGAACTACTTGCAGCTGAGGCTAGCATAGTCGCTGTAGGTGCCTCTCGTGGCGACCCCCGCACCCCGTTCTTTGAGGGGTGTTCTCCTTCCCCCCTTCTTCCCTCTGTCGCCTCTGCTGCTGCTGTCGACCTCCTTGGTGCTGAGAAGGTCGGGACTGCGTCTGCTTCGAGCGGACGCCGCAGCGGCAAGGGCAAAGGGGGCAAGGGAGGCGGAGGTGACGGTGGGGGAGGAGGTGGTGGGGGCGGTGGCGGCGGTGGGGGTGGTGGCGGGGCTGGAGGGGCGAGTGGCGGCGGTGGGGGTGGTGGCGGCAGCGGCGGGGGAAGTGGCAGGGGCTGGGGCGATGGTGGGGGTGGCGGTGGACGCGGCGGCGGCAGGGGTTGGGGTGGTCGAGGAGGTGGGGGCGGAGGTGGTGGTCGTGGAGGCGCAGGCGGCGGTCCGAGCCAGCCGCCCACTCCGTCGCCCCAGGAGGTCCGTGAGTGGTACGCTCAGCACGGGGGGGGGGGGGGGGGGGGGTGGCTTTACCTGCACGTATGTCATTCGCACTGGTGACCGCACTGGTCAGCAGTGTGGGGGACCGCACGCCACGCAGCGCTGCTTCGCTCGCCTCAACGACGCTTGGCGTGTTCAGTTCCCTCAGGCCACTGAGTTGCCCCGCTAGCTTGATCTCCTGAAGAAGGGGATTGATATCTATGCTCTAGACTTTGATGCTATTCTTACTGCCATGTATGTGATGTCTACTAGTGGAGAGGGTGCTGAGTACCTGTGTGTTCCGCCCGACCCGGGCATTAGGGCTAGTGCGTCTGCCGCTTCAGGTACTCGCGTGTCTGCTACCCCAGGTGCTGGTGCGGCTGCTGCTCTAGGTGCTTGTGCGTCTGCGCCCCCTGGTACTGAGTCGACTGAGGCACTACACACCTTCACACTGGACTCAGGTGCTTCTCGCTGTTTCTTTCGTGACCGCACTGTCCTTGAGCCACTTGCTCGGCCAGTTGCTGTCTCCCTCGCTGACCCCTCTGGGGGCCCGGTCGTTGCGACCTCCTCCACTGTCCTTCCCTGTCCTGCGGTCCCGTCAAGCACACTGTCCAGCCTCCACCTCCCCTCGTTCTCTACGAACCTGGTGGCAGGGTGTGCGCTCCAGGACGCGGGTGTTCACCAGTTCACCCCTGCCTACGAGCGCGTGACCCACTGCACGTGTGCTCGTACGGGCCGTCACTTGGCTACCTTCACTAGACAGCCGGGGTCGGACCTGTACACACTGACCACTGAGTCCCCTCAGGTCGCTGCGTCTGCGTCTGCGTCTGCGTCCGGTCAGCTGTCGGCCCCCTGCTCGTGTCGCTCTCTCGCGCACGAGACTGTCCTCTGGCACCACCGACTTGGCCACCCGTCTGTGCAGCGCCTTCGTGCCATGCACTCCCGGTACCTTGTCTCTGGTCTTCCCAGGGTTCTCCCTCCCCTCCCACCCTCACCTGCTCCTCCCTGTCTTCCCTGTGTCGAGGGGCGGCAGCGCGCCGCTCCTCACTCCTCCTCGTTTCCCCCGACGACTGCTCCCTTGCAGACGCTCCACATGGACGTGTGGGGCCCAGCCCGCGTCCGTGGTCAGGGTCAGGAGAGGTACTTCCTGATAGTTGTTGACGACTACTCGCGCTACACCACGGTCTTCCCCTTGCGCACCAAGGGTGAGGTCCCTGATGTTTTGATCCCTTGGATCCGCAGAGCTCGTCTCCAGCTCAGCGAGCGTTTCCACTCGGACTTTCCTGTCCTGCGCTTGCACTCTGACAGAGGTGGTGAGTTCTCCTCTGACCTCTTGGCAGCCTACTGTGCTGAGCACGGCATTGAGCAGTCGTTCACGCTTCCGGCCTCTCCACAGCAGAATGGGGTTGCGGAGCGCCGCATTGGCCTAGTCATGGAGGTCGCCCGTACCTCCTTGATCCATGCGGCTGCCCCCCACTTTCTGTGGCCGTTTGCGGTCCAGTACGCTGCGCATCAGCTCAACCTCTGGCCCCGTGTCTCCATGCCGGAGACCTCGCCCACACTGCTGTGGACGGGGGAGGTTGGCGATGCGTCACGTTTTCGGGTCTGGGGATCTCGAGCCTTTGTCCGCGATACGTCCACGGACAAGCTCTCCTCCCGCGCTGTTCCCTGCGTCTTCCTTGGCTTTGTCCCTGACGCGTCTGGTTGGCAGTTTTACCACGCCACCTCGCGCCGGGTCCTGCCCTCTCAGGACGTCACTTTTGACGAGTCCGTCCCCTACTACCGCCTCTTCCCCTACCGCACTGCCCCGCTCCCCCCCCCGCCTCTCTTCCTCGCACCAGGTGCTGCTGTGGTAGACCCCCTCCCCCCTCAGGGTGCCGCTCCCTCAGGTGTGTCCCAGGTAGACCCGGTTGAGCCTGTTGAGGTAGCTGTTGACTCTCGTCCTGCTGGGGGTGCTGAGCCTGGGGGTGCGGAGACTGGGGGTGCTGAGCCTGGGGGTGCTGAGCCTGGGAGTGCTGAGCCTGAGGGTACTGAGCCTGGGGGTGCTGAGCCTGGGGGTGCTGAGACGCGGAGTCCGGTGTCTGGGGGTTCTGAGTCTGGGGGTGCTGAGCCTGGGAGTCCTACACCTGGAGGAGCTCTCTCCTCGGAGCAGCTGCGTGAGTGGTACTCAGAGTACTGCAGCCTCAGGAGAGGTGCCTCTGGAGCCCGGAGTACTACTGGGACGGGTGCTGGTGCCTCCCCCCTCCGCGGGAGCTGCCCTCTCTTGAGCGGATCCGTGAGTGGTACGAGCGGCGCTGCACTCTCCGGAGTGGCGCGCCTGGTGTCACGGACCCTGGTGCTGGAGTTGGAGCTGCTGCTGGTGCTGCGGACCCTGGAGTTGGAGCTGCTGCTGGTGCTGCGGACCCTGACGTTGGAGCTGCTGCTGGTGCTGCGGACCCTGGAGTTGGAGCTGCTGCTGGTGCTGCGGACCCTGGAGTTGGAGCTGCTGCTGGTGCTGCAGACCCTGACGTTGGAGCTGCTGCTGGTGCTGCGGACCCCGACGTTGGAGCTGCTGCTGGTGCTGCGGACCCTGGAGTTGGAGCTGCTGCTGGTGCTGCAGACCCTGACGTTGGAGCTGCTGCTGGTGCTGCGGACCCCGACGTTGGAGCTGCTGCTGGTGCTGCGGACCCTGGAGTTGGAGCTGCTGCTGGTGCTGCGGACCCTGGCGTTGGAGCTGCTGCTGGTGCTGCGGACCCTGGCGTTGGAGCTGGTGCTGGTGCTGCGGACCCTGGTGTTGGAGCTGCTGCTGGTGCTGCGGACCCTGGAGTTGGAGCTGCTGCTGGTGCTGCGGACCCTGACGTTGGAGCTGCTGCTGGTACTGCACGGCCCCGGCCGTACTTCGTACTGCTCCTTCAGCAGGTTCTTGGTCAGCCTCCTCCTCCTTGTCCTTCTCCCTCCTCAGAGTGTCCTCCGCCTGTCCAGTCGCAGTCCCCGTTACCGCCTGCCTTGCCGCTCCCTGGTCCTTCTCCTTACACTGGTCCCACAGGAGGTCTTACGGAGCGTCGTGAGCCTGAGTCTCGTCCTGTGTCGCCTGCGTCTCGCTCTGCGTCGCCTGTTCGTGCTGCTCGCACTGGTCGTCGTGTCCCACGTGAGCGTCCTCCTCCTGTCCCTGGCACTCACTACATGACTCTGCGTCCCTCCACTGCTCCTCAGCGCGTCCCTCTGCCGTCTCCTCCTGCGTCCTCTCTTCCTACCCTTCCTGACCCGGAGTCTGACTCCCTTCGTGCGGCTCGTCCTACTGTCACGCATCTCCTCGCTACTGTTGTCACTGACCCTACCTTTGAGTCCTCTGCTGCGTCTGCTCTTGTCGCTGAGTTAGTTGACTTTGCTGCCGCTTGTCGTCTCGACTACGCCGCTAGCCTAGTTGCTGCGTCTGAGTCTGTCTGTCCTCCGTCCGTCGGGGGTGAGTGTGCTCTTGGTACGGACGTCCTTGAGGACAGGCAGGAGGAGTTCCAGTGCTTTGCTGCTGCTTTGCCTCATCTCGTGTCCATGCTAGTTGCCCCTGAGGGAGACCCGGATGCACCAGACATCCCGACCCCGCGCTCTTACGCAGAGGCGATAGCGGGTCCCTACTCCTCTCAGTGGCAGACAGCCATGGACGCCAAGATGGCTTCCTGGAAGTCCACAGGCACCTACGTCGACGCAGTTCCCCCACCAGGGGCGAACATCGTCAGTGGCATGTGGATTTTCAGGGTGAAGCGGCCGCCGGGTTCTCCGCCTGTCTTCAAGGCACGTTACGTTGCTCGAGGCTTCAGTCAGCGTGAGGGAGTCGACTTCTTCCAGACCTTCTCCCCCACCCCGAAGATGACCACTCTTCGGGTGCTGCTACACATAGCCGCTCAGCGCGACTACGAGCTTCACTCTCTTGACTTCAGCACTGCTTTCTTGCAGGGTAGCCTGCACGAGGAGATCTGGCTGCGCCGCCCTCCTGGCTTCATTGGGTCGTTTCCTCCTGGTACCCAGTGGAGCCTCCGCCGGCCGGTCTACGGTCTCCGTCAGGCACCACGTGAGTGGCACGACACACTGAGGACGACACTTGCGGCACTTGGGTTCGCGCCTTCTACTGCTGACCCGTCGCTGTTTCTGCGCACAGACACTTCGCTGCCGCCGTTCTACATCCTCGTGTACGTCGACGACTTGGTCTTTGCCACTGCTGACACTCAGGCTCTCGCCCACGTGAAGTCAGAGCTGCAGAAGAGACACACGTGCACAGACCTGGGTGAACTGACAAGCTATCTTGGCTTGCGGATCACCCGGGACAGAGCACGGCGCACCATTACCTTGACTCAGTCACACATGGTGCAGCAGGTCCTTCAGCGCTTCGGCTTCACGTACTCCTCGCCTCAGTCCACTCCTCTGCCTACCGGTCACTTGCTCTCAGCTCTGCCTTCGGATGAGTCCGTAGAGCCGAGTGGCCCGTATCCAGAGCTTCTGGGCTGCCTCATGTACCTGATGACCTGCACTCGACCTGACCTTGCATACCCTCTTAGCATCCTTGCACGCTATGTCGCTCCTGGCCGTCACCGGAAGGAGCACATGGATGCCGCTAAGAGGGTGTTGCGCTACTTGTGCAGTACGTCGGGCATGAGGCTAGTGCTTGGAGGGCGAGACCGAGTTGTTCTCACTGGGCACTCAGACGCTTCTTGGGCGGACGACCAGGCCACTCAGCGGTCGTCTTAGGGTTACACCTTCAGCCTTGGCTCTGGTTCAGTTTCTTGGCGTTCTACACGTTCTTCTTCAGTTCTTAGCTCCAGTTGTGAGGCTGAGATCTACGCCACAGCCATGGCAGCCCAGGAGCTACGCTGGCTCACCTACCTGTTGACTGACTTGGGAGAGCGGCCTCGTTCTCCTCCAGTGCTGTACGTCGACAACAAGGCTGCCATTGCCTTGTGTGAGGAGCACAGACTGGAGCACAGAATGAAGCACATCGCTCTGCGGTACTTTCTGGCTCGTGAGCTGCAGCAGCGTGGTCAGCTTTGTCTGCGTTACGTGGCCACTCAGGCCAACACTGCTGACGTGTTCACCAAGGCGCTTCAGCCTTGTGACCATCAGCGCTTCTGTACTCTTCTAGGCCTTGTGCCTACTGGACCTCACTTGCTTACTTCTTGACTTTGCTTGTACTGTGATCTCTATATATATACCTGCATGCTT